ATATCACAAAATTCATTCATTTTAATTGTACCATTAGGTGACTTTTAGTAAATATGTGAAGTTTCACAACCATCAACATGATAAAGTTTTGGAACATTTCCATTAACCCCCAAATCCTGTGTGCCCATTTGTAATCAGTGCCTCTTTCCAGCCCCAGGCAACCATTAATCTACTTTCTGTCTCTATAGGTTTACCTTTTCTGGACATTTCATTTAATGAAATCATACAATATGTTGTCTTTTGTGTTTGCATTCTTAGCATAATGTTTTAAGGATCATCCATGTTGTAGCATGTATCAGTATTCCTTTCTGTTGTTCAGTAGCAGCTCATTTATGGATATGCCCATTTTGTTTATCCATTCAACATTTGATGAACATTTAGATGGTTTCAACTTTTTCGCTTTTCTGAATAATGTTGCTGAGGGCAACATTTATGTGAACATTTTATATGTACAAGTCTTTGTGTGAACTTTGCATTTTTATTTCCCTTGAGTAGAGAATCAGGAGTGGAATTGTTGTATGGTAAATTTATGTTTAACTTTTTTTTCTATGTTGCTGAGGCTGGTTTCAAACTCCTGGCCTCAGGTGATACTCCCCTTGGCCTCCCAAAGTGCTGGGATTATAGGTGTGAGCCACCAGGCCCAGCCTATGTTTAACTTTTTAGAAAACTGTCAGATTGTTTCCCACAGCAATTGCACCATTTTGTTCTGTGGATTTTTAAGCAGAAGAAAGATGTGGTTTTCAATTTCTGGTAAACTGGGGAACAAACAAACCCAGAAGTTGAATGAGAAGCCAATTTAATTTTGAAAGAGTTTATAAGAGTATGTACTTGCTTGAGTTTACAAAATGTTTAATTGGACCAGAATTTGAAGAAGAACTCTAGAAACTGCAAGCATTGACTAAGCGAAGTTATCATAGTTGTTACTAGGTGTTCATTTCTTCTTGGGGACCAAATCAAGATAGATAAATGTGCAAGATCATCTTTTTTTTTTTTTTTTTTTTTAAATCAGTAATAAGTCATTTTTCTACCCCTCAGCTAATGAGCTTCCTTTGCTTGATATGGGGTGAACTTGGCCTTGGAATAGTTTACAGCTTGGTAACTGCTTCACTCAGGGAATTGCCTCATGAATTTACAATCATCTATAAGGTATTTTCAAAATGAAAATCCAGATATAGCCCTCTAGCAAGGAGGTTTCAATTTGGTAATTGATTCAGAAACTTTTGGGGAAAATACTGTTGCTAACTGCAGTTTGTTAAGTCAGGCCTTTCAGCAATAAATGGCATTTCAAGTGGGGAGGGAATCATCATTAATGCCGAAAACCAGCAAAGTACTCTGGCCCAGGATATGCTGTGTAAGAACAGAATGGCTAAAGTGTTTGATTTTTTTCTACTCAGAAGATAATATTTTCTAAAATATATTTAGATACGTTCTGTATTATGTGGCCCCTGGGCTGAAAAAAATCCCAGAAATCATTGTTCACTTGAAAGATAGTCTTTTATAGCATGTAAGTGTCCTACAGAGAGAAGTTGATAACAGAGATAATTCCAAGTAGAATAATTTAAAAATTGTGTTTGTCTTTAGAATGCAGTGTGTGTTTTATCAGAGGGGTGGAGAGAGAATGGTAGAAGGGGTGGGTATGGGGCTTGTTAGGAAGTCATTATAATAGATTTTGGGCGAGGCTAATACTAATTTTTGTTCTTCAAGCAAAGAACAATTGATACATGATGTAGCTTCTTCCCCACAAAAGGGAAGTTATACTGGAATTAAAAATATTGTTTGAGAAGTCTATCAAGTAGGTAAATAATAAATAGATTACTGAGAGATAACTATATTATACTGGAGTTGACATTTTCCCCTCCCAAGGAGAAAAAAATCTAGAATCAAATTAAGTTCAGAAAGACTGGTTTCTCTGTTTCCAACATGAGAGATAAATGACATTAGAAAGAAACCAGGAGTTTTCTTCAGCTCACAACTGGTGGCACAGTGAAAGGAGAGAGCTCCTGTTAATCTCCTAGAGTGAGGCTTCTGCCACCGTTGGGAGTCCAGCCTTGCTTCAAAAGCTGGGGGTGGGGAGTAGAAGCAGTAGGGGAGCCATCACTGTGATTCTGCTGGAATCCAGGGGGGTTCTCTTGACCAAACATTCCCTTCTCACTATCAAGTTCCGGAAATACCTTAAGCATGGAAATATCTTTTTTTCTTCCTGTCTCTGATGACTTATATGACATTAGTAACCTGTTTTGGACCATGGTTTTGAACACCACTGGGCCCTATCTTCAGCTTCTTCTTCAAAAGGGAAAGCCAAGGTGCTTAGTTCCATCTCAGCACAGCAGCAGCTATCTTTCCTACCACCACGCATGTGACGCGGTGTTTTCACAGGCCTGTCAGGAGAAGCTGAGGCCTCTGCACCTGCCCATTTGGTACAAACGCACATTAGATGTGAAGTCCGCTTTTGAGGGGCTAGACTTGCCCCTTCCTTCCTCTTGCCTCATGAAGAAAACTTTAGTATTAACAGTGGCAACTAAGACATTCTTACTGACCAGACTATGGTTATTACTTTTGCTTTCTTTCCTAGACTTTATTAATAACCTGACATTTGTTGTCTTTCTGTTTTTCCTGTGAGATCATCAGGAACAGAATTTTAAGAAGTCTGTTCTATATTCCCATTTAAGTACCCTTTTTGAAATTGAGCAAGCTAATCCAGGATAAAGAGGTGGCTGTAAATCATTATTTTTAGCAAAAGGAGTTCAGGCATGAGTTTGGGCAGAGATCTAGAGGTGACAGATTTCGTATTTTAAACTCTGTTTTCATTAACTCAGTTTCTGCACACTGTAAAGTGTAGTGTTTATAATTATGTAGAATTTGATGGGCTACAAAGGTTTCACAAGCATAATATTTCATTCTGTTTTTGCTGAGGTAGTTAAACATAAAAGCAGGATTAGGGATTGTTTACTATTTGCAGCAACTTTGGGGAATAATTCAGATATTTATTGAATGCTACTGAGTGTAGGGGATGCTTAGGCATTATGATATGTGGAAGAAAATGCCAGCTCAGTTGCCTTTATTCTGACTTCAGAGTATTTTATAATTTGAATGTCCTTGATATTACTTTGAAAGTAATTGATGACGAGGTTTTTGCACCGTTAAAATGGTGTAATACTTAGCTGATGCTAAATTTATGGTTCACCCCTAAGTAATTTACTCAAAAGAAGGGGTGGGAGTGGGGCAATGATACTGCAGGTAGTCAGAGACTCTAATAATAAAGTCTTTGGCAACATTTTTGCAATTCAATTTTAATGATTTCTAAAGCAACGATGACAAAATATACTATGCATTCAGGATTTCTCTCCTGCGCTCAGGGAAGATAGGACTGATCAGTCATGTCACCCTTTTCCTTTGAGATAGGAAGCAACTTCAGAATTCTCAGTTCTGCGTTTCCAAGAGTGACTGTCAATCAGTGGGTGTTATCTCCCATGGTAATACTTCTTTCTTTGCCTTCTCTGATCAAAAGCGTTGCTTGATCCTTTTAAACATATTTTCCCTGCAAAATGGCAGCAAATAATTTTTATTTATTTTTTTGAGGTGGAGTCTTGCTCTGTCGCCAGGCTGGAGTGCTGTGGTGCGATCTTGGCTCACTGCCACTTCTGCCTCCCAGGTCCAAGTGATTCTCCTGCCTCAGCCTCCCGAGCAGCTGTGACTACAGGCGCATGCCACCAGCCTGGCTAAATTTTGCATTTTTACTAGAGACAGGGTTTCACCATGTTGGTCAGGCTGATCTCTAACTCCTGACCTCGTGATTTGCCCATCTTGGCCTCCCAAAGTGCTGGGATTACAGGCGTGAGCCACCGCGCCCACCCAATATTTTTTTAAAAAGTCCCCGGCCAATAATTTTTTAAAAAGTGCTACACTGGCCAGGCACAGTGGCTCACGCCTGTGATCCCAGCACTTTGGAAGGCTGAGGTAGGTGGATCATGAGGTCAGGAGTTCGAGACCAGCCTGACCAACATGGTGAAACCCTGTCTCTACTAAAAATACAAAACTTAGCCGGGTGTGGTGGCACACATCTGTAGTCCCAGCTACTCGAGAGGGTGAGGCAGGAGAATCGCTTGGACCTGGAAGGCAGAGGTTGCAGTGAACCAAGATCGTGCCACTGCACTCCAGCCTGGCGACAGAGTGAGACTCCGTCTGAAAAAAAAAAAAAAAAAAAAAAAAAAAAAGCCGGGCATGGTGGCTCACGCCTGTAATCCCAGCACTTTGGGAGGCCGAGGTGGGTGGATCACCTGAGGTCAGGAGTTGAAGACCAGCCTCAAAATGGAGAAACCCAGTCTCTACGAAAAATACAAAATTAGCCAGGTGTGTTGGTGCATGCCTGTAATCCCAGCTACTTGGGAGGATGAGGCAGGAGAATTGCTTGAACCTGGGAGGTGGAGGTTGCAGATGCCATTGCACTCCAGTCTGGGCAACAAAAGAGAAACTCCGTCACAAACAAACCAAAAAAAAGTGCTGTACTGTACACCCGTGCTTCCCACACTGTAATGTGCATACAGATCACCTGGGATCCTATAAAAATGCAGATTGATTTAGTAGGTCTGGGGCGTGCTTGGGATTCTGCAGTTCCAACAAAGTCGCAGGAGATGCCGTGCTGCTAGTCTGTGGACCACACTTACCGAGTCTCTCCTAGACCCTTCACTAGAGGCAACATGTAAGCTAGGAAACTATGTACAGTCCAATTCAATAACCAAGAAAAAAAGAAGAAAAGGCAAATGTTCCATTAGAAGCTGAAGTTTTATTATAGGATAACAGTACATAAAGCACATCTAAAATTGATGTGTTCAATGCACTTTTAATAAAGGTAATGTAATATTAAAGGTACAGTTTCTAAGTACAATATAACAACATTCATATTAGAATGAAAATTGGAGTATTTAAAAGACAACATTAAATCTCTCTTTTTTGTACAGCTTGTATTTACAAAATGAATCAAAATATTTTTTTTTTTTAAATTCAGGACTCAATAAAATAAACAGCTGGAAATAAGCAGACTACTGTAAGAGTGAATTGAAAAGAAAACCCAAGGTAAGTGGAAAGTTGGATGATCCTCTAATAAAGATCATTAGCAAAGTTTTAGTTCAGTACTAGTTTTAGGATTCCCATAAATGGCTTGCATTTTTAGTGTGGCAGAAAAGGAGTTTTTACATACTGTACACAAAACAGACCATATATTCATAGGTACAGTATTACTGTTTCCAAACTTTCATGTATATTTACAGAAGGCTGAGTTTGTTTACTCACACAGAGGTTTGTGAAATTTGTGTGCTTCATCCTCAAGACCTACACACAGTTAGAATCAGCATTTCATGTGGTCTTTTTAAATGTGGCTTTAATACTTGGTTGTAGAAGAGAATGTTAACCATAAGGCTTGGCTTACTTTATAAATTTCACAAAACAACCCAGGAAAAAAGTTTTAATTGGGGCACACTTGTTATCATTTAACAATTGTCAAATGCTGACCTGTGCTAGCCATTGTGCAGACGCAAAGAGATACATACAATCTCTACCCTCAGGAAGCTTAGGATGCTAAATGGTGCTTTAAAAAAAAAAGGTTTCAATCTCTTTCCAAGCGAGGCAGTTAAGGAATGATGTGATTTATATTAAAAGAGATTTCTCCCTCAACTGTAGCCAATCCACTTTAAAAGGTTAACTACTAGCATTAGCTCTCATTAACCACACAATTGCATTTATAGTTAAGGTAACAGCAACTCTTCCACAAAAATGGAAAATGTCTAGAATTGTGGGTAAGTATGCAGTGCATGGAAGCCAATAATCATGGCTTGAGAATTTATCACCTTCAATTACAAAAAGTGCAGTAAACAGAAACATTTGCTCTACATTTATAAATTGCTCAAAAATCTTTGCTAAAGATCTTACAAATTCAGTAATATTACAGAACAATTCTAATCAATATTTAATAAGGTTAACTACATCCTTAGTTAGATATTTGATAAACTTTGCTTTTTAATAATGCCAATAGATCTTGGGAGAATGCGTAGAAAGGCTTAATTAAGCTCATTATTAAATAACTTTAAAAATGAAGGTCCTTCACTCAGTTCATGGAACTGGTTGAGGTTATATTGAAACAGAACATCCCGTGTCGAATTTGCTTTATGGCCCATGTTCTGGCAGAGGACGTCTCCATCCTTCTCATGACTCAGGTAGGAGGGGAAAGGTTTATTCTGCCATCAAGCCATCTAGGATATTTTATATAAATGCCTATTATCTATAATAGGAGCTAAGAATACAACTCTGTTAGGTGCCCATAATATAATTCCTTAATAAGAAAAAAAAGTATATTACTCCATTAAACAAGTTTCTTTAGGATCTTGAAGGCCTGGCAAATTATTTTTCAGCTTAGGAGATATGCTATAAAGCCAAGTAGCAAACATAAAGTAAATGCTAATAAGTTTCTGTATAGCCATATTTATAAACAAATTCACCCTATAGATGTCAAATATCCATACTAAGGAAGTAATTTTATCCTAATTAAATACACTCTAGAATAATTTATATAACGATATTATGTATTTAAAGAGAAAAGCGTGTCCCAAATCCAGCACTCTGATACAGCTGCCAGTTGGGCATAGGTAGATATATATATATATGTATATATATACAAATATATAGTTATACTCAGTGAAATTAACAAGACCCAAAGGTGGTATTGTCTAGGAATAAAAGGGATATTTTTTGTTGTTCACAAAAGTAACTTGTCTAGCACCACACATCAGAAAAACACAAAAATAGCACACTCTAGTTCTAAACAGCTATGTCTAAAATAGATTATATAGTAAAACTGGTATTATACAGCATATTGTGGATTTGATAAACAGATAAATATTTGCACTGAGTAGGCTGTTTATAATATAACATTTTCTTATCTATACAGAATGAAAGCCAAAAAGTTAACTGTATAGAGATGTGCAGAACAACATTAAATATTATGACTCAAAAGCAGGGACAGGTAAATTTGAAAGAAGAGTAAGAGAGAAAATGTTTACAGGCCATTACAAGTTCTTAAGTTAATAGTAAATAAGGAATTGATTGCTCAAGTTGAAGAAAGCAGTAAACAAGAGATTGCATTTACATGCAGATGTCTAAAATTTGTATTTTTTAAGTCTATGCACAAAAGTCATTTGTTTTATTGCTTGACATTCAGTTATGGCTAGATTATTTAACCTATTTTTTTTGTACTTTGGAAACAAGAATATTGTTAAAGGTGCCATAAAAATGGACAACATTGAAAACGGTTTGCAAATAAACCACCTAACACTGCAGTTCTTTATACATATTAAAAGCCTTGTCTGGGGTTTGTCATATGTTAAATATTATTTAAACTGGGAAAATATGTTGTAGCTTGAAGCCTCCCATTGGCCCAAACATCCAATACAAAAACACATCTCCACAAAAGGAGCAGGCAGACAATACAGGTACATTTATAGAAGCAGCCAGCTAATGTCCTAATGTTTAAAAATTTACCACTGTTTAATATGAGATTTCAGACTGTGTGGATAACAAGAGAATTTTGGATTCAGGAAGATGTATACAGTACATATGGATTTTTTTGTGTGTGTGAAATCATTTTCACTATATTGCTGAAGAATTATCTGCATTTACATATGCAATCTGTTCAATGATAAGTTCCTAGAAATAGTATTCATCCACATTAAAGTAATAATGATGAAAAAGGAATCACACATGAACACTGGAGAGAATTTAGTTGTTCTTAGAGAACAACATAATGGCATGTGCAGCATGTCAAAGCTAATAGCAAGTTATCTTTCATTAGTTCTTAGAAGGATGAAAGAAAAAGAAGTGTGGTACTGCTAATGTGGCAAAGTACACTAAATGTAAACAGCAAACACAGATTTTCTAGGCATCTATTTAAAATACTCATATTCACTTTCTCAATATAAGACTCCATGTTATGTTGCATCACTGAAAAAAGGTTGTTTCTATTTGGATTGAATATTCTGTCATTCATTTATACATAAATGACTGAATGTATTTATTGCTCTAAGTTCTGAGGGTTTGGTTGAACATGGAGATCCCCCCTGCCCATCTAGGATGGCTACTTGGTATGAAGTCAGGCTTCTGGATTCTTTTAAAAATTATTCTGAGAGCCTGACAACAGTGATCTCACCTACATAGACAAACAGACAGATCCAGAAGTGAAACCAATTGCACTGTGGAGACATTGCTAGTCAGTCTTCTCATCTCTTAAAAATAAACAGCAATAGGAAATTCTCTATAATAAAATCTGATTGAACCTCTTTACTAATATTATATTTAGGTACAGAATAGAAGACCTGTATCATAGACTATTACCAATAGATCAAGATTTACTGTTGCAATTGCATTTCTGGGCACATTACTTGATCTATAATATAAAGTTGTTTTCATGGGGTTCTATATCATAACTTTATAAGAGGCAATCACATGTTATGTAAAAATGTCAATAACGTGTGTGTGTATACACACATATACAAATACACACAGAGAGGAGAGATTTCTGCCGGTTTCCATATTCTTTATTATCAAAAACAACATGGTAAAGGTATCCTTTTCATCTTATAGACATGGGAAGTTTTCCCAGATTATGTTCCTCTGTCATAGTAAGAAAATATATAAATCTTGTGAATGTGTATCCCAAGATGGAAGAATCAGAGCCAACAATTACATTGAACTTCTTTGACTTTATGGAAAGTAATATGTGGAATATGATAACAAAAAAATATAACATGTAACACTAAATGTTGGCTCGAGGTGCTGCTGTCATACAGGCAGGTTTTGTTTTGTCTTTAAACATTAGCTCTTGTAATGCATCAGATATAAACTACACATGTAGAAGAAAGAATTGTTTTCTATGAAGGAATTTTTGGTTTGCTTCTAGAGGAGAACACATGAAAACAATAGTTAATTGCTGGTATTTTATATTTTATCTTTTACCTATATCACTGTACTGATAGGTCTCTCCTCTTATTACTGGTTTTAAAAATTTTCATCCTTAATATGTAGAATTTGAAACAGATTTTAACATATGATGCTATATATATATTTATCATGAATATTTTAATTATTAGAGAAATGGTAACTGGAATATGCAAGGACTATACTTTGAATGATGCTCTTTGCTGGTATATTATCTATTAATTTATCTTTTGAACACACTGGCATAACTTTGCTTTGGAAGTTATTCAGTGTTTTGAAACACAAGACTGAAGAGCACATCAAGTTCTGAACTCAACAAAATGAGACGAGAGTAAAGAGTTTACACACACGCAGTTCTATATAGTTCACTTGTGCCTTGGAGGGATAGTATTATTATCATTCTTATTAATAATAAAAAACACAATTTGTCCCAGTAGTACTGGCCACCCTGTTTTAAGAGTTTTAGGAGATCCCTGAGCACATTGTTTCTGACTCTTAACCCCAACTCCAAAATGATAGGGCTTCTATCGTTGATATCAAGATGGATTGTCATTCACAGTAAGTCAATTATAAGGTGCTTATTTACCCTTGTTTTTCACCAATTAGCACAAAGAACTGTCAGAAAATAACTTTTTATTATTATCTTAAAATAATAGCATTGGAAGGACATATGATTTAAACAATCAATGTTTGAAACAGTGGCTTTAGGATTATTATCTGGCTGCCCCTCAACAATAAGAAGTGATTCGATCGACATTCCTTAGCCAAAAACAAAAGGCAAAACAAAAAAAACCAAAAACCCAAAAAACAAAAAAACCCCAAAAAACTGTACAAATATGTATTTTTCCCTGAGGGATCAAGGTACACCCGCAAGTGCTCTATGTACATATTGCACTAGAGAGGAATGAAGAACATGTGCAAAAAAGCAACAATGAGAGAAGCTTACATACTACTTAAACCTTTTCATGAAAGATACTACGAGGTTTTGCATTTTGGAATGTCGGAACACAACAGCTAGCTATTCCTTAGTCTAAAACTAAAAACACACATTTCTACTATGGCACATTCAATGAAATAAAAAGTTTTCCAAA